ACGGAGTGCGGTAGGGGAAGAGGCGGTAGTAGGGTACCGACTCGTCGAACGTGACGTCCTGGGAGGACAGAACACGTCGAGAGGTGGGGTGGTAAAACTGCCACCCAGGGGCGTCGGGGGGGAACCCCAGGAAGACGCAGGGAGAAGCACGAGGGGATAGCTTGTCCGCAGACAGGTCGCGAACAAACGCCCGAGATCCCCAGACCCGGAACGCCGACGCATCGCCAACCTTCCCCGTCCACAGCAGGGCTGGGGAGGTCTCCGGTCGAGAGACCCTGGGGTGGAGGTTGATCTGGTGCGCAGCGTACCTGACCGCAAACGGCCACAGAAAATGGGGAGCAGCCGCATGCATCATGGACGTACGAGCGACGTCCATGACCATGCCAATGCGGCGCTCAGCAATCCCATTCTGCTGCGGTGAGTCCGGAAGCGTGAAGGTCTGACGGATGCCTCGCGCACGACAGTAGGCACTCAGGAGGCCAGAGGAGAACTCTCCGCCTCTGTCCGAGTGTAGACGCAAAACAGGGAAGTCAGAGCCAAAGCTCCTCCGAAGCTGGAGACGAGCTGCGCGGATCCAGTCGATCAACACCGCAGTGACCTCACCCTTGCTGCGCAAGGGGAAGACTGTGGTGTAACGCGAGTAGTCGTCAACCACCAGCAGGAAGTAGCGCTCCTGACCCTGTCCACGGACGCGGGCTGGGCCCCACACATCCATGTGAAGCGTCTGCAACGGGGCCTCTGTCGGAGGAAACTGGGAGGAGTGAGGGGCAGCACGCTGGCGCCCCTCGACACAGGGGACACAGGTGGGGCCAGGGCCCGGAGGAAGGGGAGGGAGAGACCGGGGAAGACCAGACACAAGGACTCGCGAGGCCATGCCTCTGAGCCGAAGCAGAGAGGGGTGGCCAAGGCGGTGGTGCCAGAGGAGGGTCTCGTGAGACAAACGACGGCACGAGCAGGGGGCAGACTCAGGACCAGACCTGGACGCTGCAGCAAACACCTGACCAGACGAAGTGACCCTACCAGACTCAGCACCTGGAGGAGAAGCAGTGGTCAGAGTGTACAGGCTCGACCCTGGCCGACGTGTAAACGTAGCCAGGTGGCGACCTGTATCCGCCTCCGTGCAGTGGGTCACCCGCTGACGAGCAGGGGTGAACTGGTGGACACCCGCATCCTGGAGGTCAGCACCACTCACCAAGTTCGTCGAGAACGAGGGGAGGTAGAGACCAGTCAGGGTGCCAGAGGGGGCCGCCGGACACGGGAGGACAGTGGAGAAGCGAGACAGGACAGGCCCCCCAGAGGGGTCAGCCAGGGACACCGCAACCGGCCGACTCAGCGGCGTGAGAGTGGTGCGGTCCCGAAAGAAGGAGCGAGACGCTCCAGAGTCAAGGGTGAAGGTGTGAGAGGCCGAAGCCGACACAGTACCTGAGAGGGCAGACTCACCAGCACCTGAGAGCACAGACGCACTGGCACCTAGAGCAGCAGCCTCACTAGTACCTGACGCGGCAGTACCAATGCCCGGGTCGGGCGGGAAACACCGGTAACAGTCATCCTCATCACTACCAATCGCAGCATACATAGCAGAGAGAATAGCATCAAAATCAAGATCATAAATAGCTACACCAGCCCTAGACAGCTCTCCCCAGCGGGGGATCTCAGCTGCCTCCGGAAACTGCTGACGCCAGGCGTCAGTCAGGCGGCCAAAGCAGCGGCGGGCAGTGTGGGCGCCTCCACACCTCTCCCCTGCACGGTCACCGGTGCGGAGAACGTAGGGGCACGGACCAAGCGCACCACCACGCTGACGCTGCGAGTACCACTCACGGAGCTGCTGAGGGGCGGGGACGGTGCGAGAGCGCTGCTGGTGCTGTGGCTGCTGCTGCGGCTGCTGCTGCTGTTGCTGCTGGCGCTGACCACCCCCGGAGCTGCTCCGCTGGGACGAGCCACTCCGACCCCCGCCTCCACTGCCACCCCCGCCTCCACCGCCACCCCCGTCTCCACCTCCACCTCCCCCACCAGGACCGTCGCTCCCACCGCTCCCACCGCCTCCTCCGCTACCACCTCCGCCGCCACCTCCGCCTCCACCGCCGCCACCAGTACCTCCACTTCCGCCACCACCCCCACCGCCACCCCCACTCCCCCCGCCACCCCCACCGCCTCCTCCACCGCCCCCTCTAGCTCCACCCGCTCCCTTGCCCCCCTTGCCCTTGCCAGCGCGGCGTCTGCCGCTGGGGGCAGACGCCGCGCCGACCGACTCAAAACCAGTGAGGTCGGCCGCAGCGGCAGAGGCGACAGAGGGCAGCAGGGGGGAAGGACCACACCCCTCAAAGATAGGGGTGCGAGGGTCACCCCGAGAGGCCCCTACAGCGACAATACTCTTCTCAGCCGCTAGCAGGGACTCCTCAAGGAGGTCGACAGTGAGAGTGGTGGGACAGACAGAGAGAAACTGGTCCGTAACGACACGAAGGGACTCAGGGAGACGGGTGACGAGAAAGTAGAGAGTGATGTACATGGGAGGAGGGTTCGCAGCGCGGAACTCAGCAGGAAGGGCAGCGCGGTAGCGGGTGTCACTAGCACGGAGGTGGGTAACGAGGTCAGCGACAGTGGGAAAGGAAGCGAGGTCAGGGAAGAGAAACGGTAGCATGAGGCGGCTAAGGGTAGCGGAGGAAGGGGAGGAGTAGCGTGCAACTACAGCGTCGTACAAGGCCTGAGCGGTCTTGCACTGACTAAAGTGGGCACGCTCAGAGGAAGGGAGGTGGCGACGCACAGCAAGACGTGCAGCAGCATCGCGGGTCGCCCACTTGGAGCGAACGGCAGAGTCAGCATCAGCAGGTGGGGCAGGGACAGCGCCAGAGACAAAGTCAAAGAGAGAGACCTCATCTATCGCATCACACAGTAAGTACAGCTGCAGGTCTTCAATCCAGACGGCAAAGTCAATGGCCCTCCCCTCAGCGTCAAAGGTAAGAACATTGGGGGTGGCCATGACAGCAGCTGAAAATCTCACCGGGCTGGGAGAGGCGGGTAGGTCAGCAGCAGAGGAACAGCAGCACGGCTCCGCAGGCGGCTCGGGCGGCGCGGGCGGCTCGGCGGCGGCTCGGGCGGCGGCTCGGCGGCGGATCGGCGGCGGCTCGGCGGCGGCTCGGCGGCGGCTCAGGCGGCGGCGGCTCGGCGGCGGCTCGGCTGCTGCTGGGCGGCGCGGGCGGCTCGGGCGTCACGGGCGGCTCGGCGGCGGCTCTGGCGGCTCGGCGGCGGCTCGGGCGGCGGCTCGGCGGCGGCTCGGCGACGGCTCGGCGGCGGCTCGGCGGCGGCTCAGGCGGCGGCGGCTGCTGCTGGGCGGATCGGCGGGGCCGCGTAGCAGAGTGGCGGCGGGGCCGCGACCGAAGAGAGCGGCGGGGCCGCGTAGCAGAGGGCGGCGGGGCCGCGTAGCAGAGGGCGGCGGGGCCGCGTAGCAGAGGGCGGCGGGGCCGCGTAGCAGAGGGCGGCGGGGCCGCGACCGAAGAGAGCGGCGGGGCCGCGTAGCAGGGGGCGGCGGGGCCGCGTAGCAGAGGGCGGCGAGGCCGCGTAGCAGAGGGCGGCGGGGCCGCGATCGAAGGGCGGCGGGGCCGCGTAGCAGAGGGCGGCGGGGCCGCGTAGTAGAGGGCGGCGGGGCCGCGTGGCAAAGGGCGGCGGGGCCGCGATCGAAGGGCGGCGGGGCCGCGTAGCAGAGGGCGGCGGGGCCGCGTAGCAGAGGGCGGCGGGGCCGCGTAGCAGAGGGCGGCGGGGCCGCGAGGCAGAGGGCGGCGGGGCCGCGTAGCCGAGGGCTGCGGGGCCGCGATCGAAGGGCGGCGGCGGGGCCGCGTAGCAGAGGGCGGCGGGGCCGCGATCGAAGGGCGGCGGGGCCGCTAGGGAAGGGCGGCGGAGCCGCGAGGGGAAGGGCGGCGCAACGGTCCGCTAGGGGCGACACGACGGGTCGCTAAAAAAAAAAAAAAAAAAAAAAAAAAAAAACGCGCCTCGGGGCGCGGTTCGGTGGGCCCTAGAAGCAGTCCCTAGGAGGGAACCTGCTCTGATTCCATGTGAAAACAAAGAACGAGAATGAAATGACTATGAACGAAGTGAGTACAAATAGGAAACCCTAATTGGGTTGTACCCCCTATGGGATACCCCACTATGGCCTACAGAAACAAGTAAGCTATAAGTTCTGACACTTTGTAAATTGCTTCTATAAGTATAATATACTTCATTATAATGTTTCTACGCAACCCTTCCGACGTATCGGTAAACGTCGAATCTTGTTTAACCTCTCTGAATCAATTCCAGACCTTTTTCAACCGCTTTCGGATGTACTCTGGTCCATGCATCACGGCGGGGGGTGGGTGCGAGCCGCCTCTAGCTCCTCCTAGGGAAGTGAGACTAGCAGCAATCCCCACAGCGGGGAGTTGGTGCGAGGCCTACGAAACTTGGGATTATGGGCGAGATTTGGAGCTACGTTTATGAGCAGCAGAGCGTATGGTCGGGTATTATAGTGTAGCTTAGCACAAGCTTAGAGTTGTTATGGATCACACACCAGTCTGTGTGACTAGGTGGAGGGGCAAGGGCTCTTGATTTCAGCTGCAAGGTTAAGGGGAGATTCATGATTATCTGGTCTACTGAGTACGTCGACTAGGTGTACGGTAGTGCTGTAATCCTGAATCATATTTGTCAAACAACTAGACATATACTTCTTACACTACCTTCTATCCTCCACCCAAAACTCAGCAATACAGGAATCTTCAAGACAGTTGGCAGCTCAAATCCACCAGCAAAATTCCAAAATCCGCAGTCTCTTTTCCTTCGGGCCGAATAATCAGGAGACACATAGCCTTACTGTATCTTTGAGCCCTTAGCCTCAGTCCATTGCTTGACTTCAATCAGAAAAATCGTGCCAATCTCTGGGCACCATCCAGGCCTGCAGCGAATCTGCACCAACATCCTCCTTTGCGTCAATCTGTTGCTTGGCTTATTCTCGCTAGCCGACTCATAATCATACCCTATCTTTGAGCAGCATCCAGCCCTGCAGCAGAATCTGCACCGCCATCCAGCTTCGTCTCAATCCGTTGCTTTACTTCTCCTCCTCCCAACCCTGATTCCCCTCTCCCTTCACGAGCACCATCAGCAGCACCGCCAGCAGAGCCAGAACCACCAGCACCGGCACCAGCAGCACCAACACCACCAGCTGCAGCAGCAGTGTCAGCCACATCAGCAAGAGCAGCCGCAGCAGCATCGGCGTCATTTAAAGCAGCTTCATCCAAAGCAACATCGTCCCCTGCATCGTCTACCTCTACGTTTACCCCTGCTGCTGCTGCTCCATCAGTCACCTTTTTTATCGCACTGCCACGGCCACCACCAGCTGCAGCATCAGCCCCGGTACCAGCAGCAGCAGCATCAGCAGCGCCGCCACCAGAAGCAGCACCAGCAGCAACATCAGCAGCACCGCCACCAGAAGCAGCACCAGCAGCACCAGCAGGGACAAAGTCAGTGTGACGAGGAGTGATCTTGAGCGGGTGTGCCTCAGTGTTAATCACCCACTTGTCCAGATTCAATGTATCGTCCGGTGAGAATAGCAGGTAGAGGTACTTGAGCGTCTCTGCTAAAAAGAAGCTCTGCTGCATGTTGTCCTGCGGAGGAGGGTTTCTCCCCGCCTGCAGTGGAGAGGGGTGGGGCGAGGTGGAGTAGGGTGAGGAGGGGTGGAGAAGGGTGGAGGGTGGGGGAAATGAGACATCTGCTAAGGGGAAAAGAGCAGGTAGAAGTACTTGAGCGTCTCTGCCACGAAGAAGCTCTGCTGCGTGTAGTCCTGCTGAGGGAGGTCCCTCCCCGCCTGGTAGAGTGGTGGAAAGGGGTGGAGATGGGTGACGTGGGGTGAAGCGGGTCGGAGTGCGGTGATGAGGGGTGAGGAGAGGTGGAAGGTGGGGGAAATAAGACATTTGGTATTTTAGCATGGCGAGCCAAGAAGAGCAGGTGGAGGCACTTAACCAGGCCTCCTTAACCCCCTAAATACACCCTTTATAAGCTCAAATGCCCAACCCACTACAAACAACTACACACGCAAATCTTCCAGCGCAAGACCCGGCCTCCACACGGCAGTGCCTCTCAAACGCCTGCCAGATCTTCCACCCCTCCTATCCAAGCCCCCGTAACCACTGCATGTACTCTTTATAAGCTCCAATGCCCGAGAGTGACTCAGTGACCACCTACTAAAAAGGAACCGAGCACTCACATCCTCGAGCCCCACGTATCCAGCCTCCATGCGTCAGTGCTTCTCGAACACCTGCAAGATCTGCCACCCCTCCTAACCACAAGCCATCTGAACCCCTATACCCCTCTATAAGCTCTGTTGCCTGAGAGGGGCCCACTACTATAAAGGAACCGAGCACTCACATCCTCAAGCCCCACGTATCCAGCCTCCATGCGTCAGTGCTTCTCGAACGCCTGCCTGTCAGATCTTCCACCCCTCCCAGCCACCAAGCCTATTGGACCTCCATACCCTTTACAAGCTCTGATGCCTGAGAGGGACCCGCTATGAACAAACCAAGCACATCCTCGAGCCCCACGTATCCAGCCTCCATGCGTCAGTGCTTCTTGAACGCCTGCCTCATAACGTCAGGCGTGAGGCGTCCTTCACGCCTGCCAGATCTTCCACCCCTCATAACCACGCCGCCTGAACCCTCCTGAACCTCTTTACAACCTTACATGCCCAAGCGTGACCCAAGCCTCCTGAACCCTTCCCAAGAGATAAGCACTCACATCTTCTAAGCCCACGTAGCCTGCTTCCACGCGGCAGTGCTTCTCAAACGCCTGCCAGATCCTCCACCCTTCCTAACCAAGCCCCCTGTATCCCTATACCCTTTATAAGCTCCAATGACTCTAAGTGAATAAGCACTCACATCCTCGAGGCCGACATAGCCTGCCTCCACGCGGCAGTGCTTCTCAAACGCCTGCCAGATCTTCCACCCCCACTCGCGGTACACGGGGTGCTTGGTGGCCCGCCACGAGTACCAGATCGCCTCCACCGCCTCTGGCCTCAAGATGTTGTACACTCGGCCTTGCAGATGGGGTCCCTGTCGGGAACAAACACAGGGAGGGGGACAGAGACGGGGGTGGGGAGCGGTACACGGGGTGCTTGGTGGCCCGCCACGAGTACCAGATCGCCTCCACTGCCTCTGGTCGCAAGATGTTGTACACGCAGCCTTGCAGATGGGGCCCCTGTGGGAAAAGCACAATCCGGTAAACATAAAAAACGAAAACAACAACTACATGGGGTCCTTATCAGCAAAAAACGAAAGCAAATCGAGCAAAAAAAGGGCTCTTGGGTCCTTGGGAGCAGCAAGGGGAAGCTCCCAATGCTCCACCCCCAGTCGCACTACATGGGGTCCTTATCAGGCCTCCACTGCCTATCTAACCACAACAATATTTGCTCACATCAGAGTGGAAGTTGTAGTCCTCGCCAGCCAGCTTGGACGGAGTGCTGTTGTAGAACTCGTAGCACGTTCGCGTTAGCTGCTCTCACGAACACATACAAACACACACACATGCACAAGCACATGCACAAGCACATGGATGCATACATACAGAAAAAAAAAAGGTATGAGGAAGGCACAAAACGATAAGAAAAAAATAGACCAAAATGAGATGCAAGAAGACATAAGAATTTAAAACCTGAACCATATAAACAATTCAGATAAATTGATCGGCTCTGTTATTTTACTTTCTCCACCCTCGAACCCCACATCCCAAGCTCACCCCACTCTCCACCTCACCATTATTCCAGCAGCCTACACTCAACCACACCGATAGTGTGATGACGGCGTACATCTAATTTCGGGTTTTGCACTGAGCGTCGCACCACTCCCATTTGTCCAGCAGCCTACACTCAACCACACAGAACTGCACCGCCAGTTTCCCTCCCTTTATCAACTAGTTACTTGCCTGTAACTAGTTACTTGATAACGTACTTGATAGCGTACTTGATAGTTACTTGATAGCGTACTTGATAGCGTACTTGATAGTTACTTGATAGCGTACTTGATTGCGTACTTGATAGTTACTTGATAGCGTACTTGATAGTTACTTGATAGCGTACTTGATAGTTACTTGCCTGTAACTAGTTACTTGATAGCGTACTTGATAGCGTACTGGATAGTTACTTGCCTGTAACTAGTTACTTGATAGCGTACTTGATAGCGTACTTGATAGTTACTTGCCTGTAACTAGTTACTTGATAGCGTACTTGATAGTTACTTGCCTGTAACTAGTTACTTGATAGCTTACTGGATAGTTACTTGCCTGTAACTAGTTACTTGATAGCGTACTTGATAGCGTACTTGATAGCGTACTTGATAGTTACTTGCCTGTAACTAGTTACTTGATAGCGTACTTGATAGTTACTTGCCTGTAACTAGTTACTTGATAGCGTACTTGATAGCGTACTGGATAGCGTACTTGATAGCGTACTTGATAGTTACTTGCCTGTAACTAGTTACTCGATAGCGTACTTGATAGTTACTTGCCTGTAACTAGTTACTTGATAGCGTACTTGATAGCGTACTGGATAGTTACTTGCCTGTAACTAGTTACTTGATAGCGTACTTGATAGCGTACTTGATAGTTACTTGCCTGTAACTAGTTACTTGATAGCTTACTTGATAGTTACTTGCCTGTAACTAGCTACTTGATAGCGTACTTGATAGCGTACTTGATAGTTACTTGCCTGTAACTAGTTACTTGATAGCGTACTTGATAGCGTACTGGATAGTTACTTGCCTGTAACTAGTTACTTGATAGCGTACTTGATAGCGTACTTGATAGCGTACTTGATAGTTACTTGCCTGTAACTAGTTACTTGATAGCGTACTTGATAGCGTACTTGATAGTTACTTGCCTGTAACTAGTTACTTGATAGCGTACTTGATAGTTACTTGCCTGTAACTAGTTACTTGATAGCGTACTTGATAGTTACTTGCCTGTAACTAGTTACTTGATAGCGTACTTGATAGCATACTGGATAGTTACTTGCCTGTAACTAGTTACTTGATAGCGTACTTGATAGCGTACTTGATAGTTACTTGCCTGTAACTAGTTACTTGATAGCGTACTTGATAGTTACTTGCCTGTAACTAGTTTCTTGATAGCGTACTTGATAGCGTACTGGATAGTTACTTGCCTGTAACTAGTTACTTGATAGCGTACTTGATAGCGTACTTGATAGTTACTTGCCTGTAACTAGTTACCTGATAGCGTACTTGATAGTTACTTGCCTGTAACTAGTTACTTGATAGCGTACTTGATAGCGTACTGGATAGTTACTTGCCTGTAACTAGTTACTTGATAGCGTACTTGATAGCGTACTTGATAGCGTACTTGATAGTTACTTGCCTGTAACTAGTTACTTGATAGCGTACTGGATAGTTACTTGCCTGTAACTAGTTACTTGATAGCGTACTTGATAGCGTACTTGATAGCGTACTTGATAGTTACTTGCCTGTAACTAGTTACTTGATAGCGTACTGGATAGTTACTTGCCTGTAACTAGTTACTTGATAGTGTACTTGATAGCGTACTTGATAGCGTACTTGATAGTTACTTGCCTGTAACTAGTTACTTGATAGCGTACTGGATAGTTACTTGCCTAGTACGCTATCAAGTAACTGGGGGTCGCCTGTCTGCACCGCCCGTTTCCCTCCCTATATAAGCCACCCCAGCATCGTTATAAGCTCACCTCTTTAGCCAAGTCCAGGTACTTGGCCGCATCCGCAGGCGACGCCTCCGGCATACCCAGTATAAGCATCCCCGGTACAAAGCACGTGAGGTGCTCCATCTTGCGAATGAGCCCCCCTCCCTCCATCTCAGGCACATAGGAGTACCCCTTGTGCCCCCCCTGGTCTGGCGTGCGCTGTACCAATCTGGAAAACATTCCATTTATAGATTTCTCCCACATGTCTCTGTGAGGGGGTGAGTGGAAGGGAGGAGTGGGGGCGAACGATTAGGTTGGCCAGCTCTGTATGTTGCGCACCATACAAATTTGGAAAGACATTCCATTTATGGACTTCTCCCATATGTCTCTGTAAGGAGGTGCATGGAAGAGAGGAGTGGGGCCAAGAGAATCAGGTCAGCCTGCTCTGTCCACTATGGGAAGCTGCAGGGTGTTTTTGAGAATTCTCAAAAACACCCTGAGGAAGGGGGGGGTGCATGGAAGGGAGGAGTGGAACCGAGAGAATCTGGTCAGCCAGCTCTGTCCGCTATGGGATGCATGCACCAATTTGGAAAACAGACGATTTTTGAGTCGACTAAAGAATTGTCTGCAGGGTATTTTTGAAAATTCTCAAAAATACCCTGGGATGGGATGGGATGCACCAATTTCGAGCACCTCCCAGTACAGATGGAAAACAGATGGAATAAGGTGAAAAGAAGAAGAGGGAAGAACAATGGGAGGCGAATCGCCTGCTCCATCCATCCACCCACCCGGGAGTTAGATTAAACTCAAGACCATCCCAGCGCCCCCATCAAGACCATCCCAGCGCCCCCATCAAGACCACCACCACAACTCCCCATCAAGAGGTTCACAATGGCTTCTCACCTGTACTTCTTCCCACTCACCTGTACTTCTTCCCACTCACTGCTGTTCATCAAGTCACTGTTTCTTCCCACTCACCTGTACTTCTTGACAACTGGCGTCTTGCCCCCGTGCACCCACATCTTGATCAGATACTCGTAGAAACTGATGAGAGAGAAGAGGAAAGAAGGGTGGGGAAGAATGGACAAGGAGGGGACAAGGGACTCAGTCTTGCCTCCGTGCACCCACAACTTGATCAGATACTCGTAGAAGCTGATGATGAGAGAGAAGAGGAAAGAAGGGTGGGGAAGAATGGACAAGGAGGGGACAAGGGACTCAGTCTTGCCTCCGTGCACCCACAACTTGATCAGATACTCGTAGAAGCTGATGAGAGAGAAGAGGAAAGAAGGGCGGGGAAGAATGGACAAGGAGGGGACAAGGGACTCAGTCTTGCCTCCGTGCACCCACAACTTGATCAGATACTCGTAGAAGCTGATGAGAGAGAAGAGGAAAGAAGGGTGGGGAAGAAGGACGAGGGGGGGACACGGGACTCAGTCTTGCCCCCATGCAAGCACAACTTGATCAGATACTCGTAGAAACTGGGAGGAGGGCAGGGAAGAGGGCAGGGAAGAGGGCAGGGAAGAGTGCAGGGAAGAGGGCAGGGAAGAGGGCAGGGAAGAGGGCAGGGAAGAGGGCAGGGAAGAGGGCAGGGAAGAGGGCAGGGAAGAGGGCAGGGAAGAGGGCAGGGAAGAGGGCAGGGAAGAGGGCAGGGAAGAGGGCAGGGAAGAGGGCAGGGAAGAGGGCAGGGAAGAGGGCAGGGAAGAGGGCAGGGAAGAGGGCAGGGAAGAGGGCAGGGAAGAGGGCAGGGAAGAGGGCAGGGAAGAGGGCAGGGAAGAGGGCAGGGAAGAGGGCTCACCTGTCCCCCATGGACCCAAACGTGATGTGGCTGCTGGTGGGCTCCCTGCTGTCAATACTGATGAACATGGGCACGAGGCCGTGACAGGTACTCGGAGGCCAGTCCAGGCTAGTCCAGGCCAGGCCAGGGCATGGCGGTTACATGGGGTTATGCCAGATGCACGAAGCTACAGCAACTCATGCTCCCGTCTCACCTGTCTCCCATGGACCCGAACGTGATGTGGCTGCTGGTGGGCTCCCCGCTGTCAATGGTGATGAACAGGGGCACCAGACCGTGGCAGTCAGGTGCTCTAGCCTCCGGGGCAGGCATGCTTTGACCCAGGCGAATGAGGCAGTGGAAGGTGAATGAGGCCATGACATGCCAGATGCACAAGGCTCACCTGTCGCCCATGGATCCGAAGGTGATGTGGCTACTGGTGGGCTCCCCGCTGTCGATGCTGATGAACATGGGCACGAGACCGCCTATGTGCCTGATACTCAAGGGGACAGCACCACGCACTCCAGCAGCTCACCTGTCGCCCATGGACCCGAAGGTGATGTGACTGCTCGTGGGCTCTCCACTGTCAATACTGATGAACATGGGCACCAGGCCATCCTCCGGGAAAATCTTTTCGATCTGCCTGATCACGTTCTCTGCCTGTGGAGGGAGGAAGGTGGGGAAGGGAAAGGGGGTTCGCCATGGGGAGAGAGAAGGAAGGGCAACATGGGCACGAGACCGTCCTCTGGGAAGATCTTTTCAATCTGCTTAATCACATTCTCAGCCTGTGGAGGGGAGTGAGGGAGGGAAGGGAACGGGGGTTTGCAATAGGGAGAGAGGAGTAGCAGCAACATGGGAACGAGACCGTCTTCTGGGAAGATTTCTCAGTCTGCCGAATCACATTCTCCGCCTGTGGAGGAAGGTGGGGAGGGGGAATGAGAGGAGCAACATGTGCATGAGACCATCCTCTGGAAATATTTTCTCAATCTACTTGATCACATTCTCTACCTGTGGCGGGCGGTGATTGTATTCTCTGAAGAAGGGGTGTGCGGTGGGAGGGTGGGAGTGGGAGGAGGGGCAACATAGGTACGAGACCATCCTCTGGAAAGATATTTTCAATCCAGCCTTATTACATGATTAGGGAGCGAGTTGCTGACCTTGATTGCGTATTTGGGGTTGCCTGTCCGCTGAGAGTGAGTCACAAACTCCAACCGCAGCGTCTTGATACCATCTCTTAGGCGCTTCAAAGCTCATTCTCCAAGTAACCAGGTTACCACCACACCACTCACCTTGATAGCGTATTTGGGGTCGCCTGTCCACTGAGAGAGAGTCACAAACTCCAGCTGGAATGTGTGTCGGTATTGATTATCAGGCGCCTCAGAGCTCGTCAATATTCCCAGGTTACCAGGTTACATAGCCACTGAACTGACCTTGATTGCGTATTTGGGGTCGCCTGTCCGCTGAGAGAGAGTCACAAACTCCAGCTGGAGCGTGCCGAGATCCGCCAGCACTGCCGATCCCTGTGGTGATGGGAGAAGTAGAGGTTGGCATTGAGTGCACAAGACACACACACACACAATCACATGCACAAACACACACACAAACTCCAGCTGGAGCGTGCCGAGATCCGCCAGCACTGCCGATCCCTGTGGTGATGGGAGAAGTAGAGGTTGGCATTGAGTGCACAAGACACACACACACACACAATCACATGCACAAACACACACACAAACTCCAGCTGGAGCGTGCCGAGATCCGCCAGCACTGCCGATCCCTGTGGTGATGGGAGAAGTAGAGGTTGGCATTGAGCGCACAAGACACACACACACACACACACACACACACACACACACACACACACACACACACACACACACACACAATCACATGCACAAACACACACACAAACTCCAGCTGGAGCGTGCCGAGATCCACTAGCACTGCCGATCCCTGTGGTGATGGGAGGAAGGGTTTAAGACGAGATAGACAACCAAAACCAGGTGACGTGCATAGAAGTGGAGTGCTTCTTCCAGATCCGAAGGAACACACGTGGACATCGAGAGAAGCTACAGCTTACCCCAGTCCAGCCAGGCGCGTTCCCTCCTCCAGAGGCCAGATCGACATAGGCAAAGGGAATCCCAGTGGGGGTGTTGAATGCTGGTAGCAGCCGATCTCCAAAGAATGCAAGCAAGGAAGACATGAAGGACGGGAAGCAGCTTACCCCGGTCCAGCCAGGCGCGTTCCCTCCTCCAGAGGCCAGATCGACATAGGCAAATGGGATGCCAGTAGGGGTGTTGAATGCGGGCAGGAGTCGGTCTCCCAGCTCCCTGGCCTTCTCCAAGAAGACTTTCTCGCCGGACAGGTCGTACGCTGCTAGCAGCCCGCCCAGCATTCTGTGGGGATTGAGGGAGCACCAACAATGGGTCGGGTGAACATTGGTCTCCTACCTCCCTCACCTTGTCTAATAAGACCTTTTCCCCCGACAGGTCGTATGCCGCAAGCAGCCCGCCCAGCATTCTGTAGGGATTGGGGGAACACTAACAATGGGTCGGGTGAACATTGGTCTCCTACCTCCCTCGCCTTGTCTAAGAAGACCTTCTTCCCCGACAGGTCGTATGCCGCAAGCAGCCCACCCAGGATTCTGCAGGGGATGCGGGGAAGCGGGGAGACGGAAGTGGGCCAGAAGGGACGGAGAGTTAGACTGGTCCCCCAGCTCCCTCGGCTTGTCCAAGAAGGCCTTTTCTTTTCCCCTGACAGGTCGTACGCTGCTAGCAGCCCGCCCAGAATCCTGTCGGGATTGGGGGAACAGCAACAGTGAGTCGGGTGAAAAGTGGTCCCCCAGCTCCCTCGCCTTCTCCAAGAAGACCTTTCTTTTCCCTGTGACAGGTCGTACGCTGCTGGCAGCCCGCCCAGCAAACTGTGAGGATCGGGGGGACAGGGGAGAAGTGGTCACAGGAGGGATGGGGGAAATGACAAAGAAGGAAAACGAGGAAAGCCGGAAAGGGCAGCGAGAAAGGTCGTATGCTGCTGGAAAAAAAGAAAAGAAAAGGGAAACGGTGGGAAGAAATACAGGAGATAAGGGGGAGTGGACGAGGCTGGTAAAGGGATGCAGAAAAAGGAGCAGCCAAATTGTGGTTAAGGGAGGGTGCGCATTGCATTGCATACCGGATGGTTGTTTCAAAGACGCTGACGCTGGAGTGCCGGTTGAAATTGAGGGACTCGCCCACCCACCTGCAGCAACAGAGGCGCACACACAACACACACACAGATCAGGAGGGAGAAGTCAACTCACGCCAGCTAGAGGCTTCAGAAAAGCAACGTAGGCAGGAGACGATTTAGGAGTTGGGGATTTGGGTTCAAGCTTGCTTTGCATTTCTGAACTCGTCTATGAGCCCCATCAGGAGGAGCATGTCACAGCCATGCCACACCATCTCGCCGACCATCTCGCCCCAGCTATGTCACACCCATACACCTGGAGCCTGACCTGACTGTCCTACTGATATAGTTAACCCACGATCGACCTGCTCTGAATCCCTCAAAGTTGTTCCACAAGGTCTTGCTGCCCCCGGCAGCACTGCTTCAGCACCAAAGTTCCTGCCCCGACGTGCCCCACTACCAATGAGCATCCCCTTGGCCGGCCTAACCCCGAAACCCTGTGAGCGTGTCCAGCGGGTCGACAACGGCCGCTTCCAGCACTGCCACAGCAGCACATGCCCAACACATCAACCTACCCTGCAGCCTGTGAACCTGCTTTTGAGCGTCTCTGAACTCGTCCTTGAGCCCCATGAGTTGGAGCGTGTCCAGCGAATCCACGATCGTCACTTTTCAGCCCTGCTACAGCAGCGCATAGACCCTCCACTCCACCGACATGCCTCACACACCAATCTGCCCTGCCCCATCCTGCCCAACATAAACATACATACAGCTGCCATGTGCACGAACTTTTGCGCGTCTCTGAACTCGTCCTTGAGCCCCATCCAGTGAGTCAATGATGGTCGCCCCCCAGCACATGCTCAACCCAGCACATGCTCAACCCAGCACATCAGCCTACCCTACAACCTGTGAACGCACTTCTGAGCGTCTCTGAACTCGTCCTTGAGCCCCATGAGGAGGAGCATGTCCAGCGAGTCAACGATCGTTGCTTGCTTCCAGCACTGCTACAGGAACATCACATGGTCACGCCCTCTAACCATAGACCAGCTTACTTTTGCGCGTCTCTGAACTCGTCCTTGAGCCCCATGAGGAAGAGCGAGTCCAGCGAGTCAACGATGGTTGCTCCCCAGCAATGCTAGCTACAGCAAAAACCTAAATCCGCCAACCTGCCCCGCATAACCAACGTACTTTTGCGCGTCTCTGAAACTCGTCCTTGAGCCCCATGAGGAAGAGCGAGTCCAGCGAGTCAACGATGGTCGCCTCGCCCGCCAGCACTGCTATAGCACAACATGGCCCCATATGGGCATGAGGGCCTCAACAACCTGCCCTGCACAACTTACGGCTGGCCTGTGAACGTACTTTTGCGCGTCTCTAAACTCGTCCTTAAGCCCCATGAGAAACAGAGTGTCCAGCCAGCATTGGTACAATAGAAAAAAAAAACCCTAAACCCGCCAATTTGCCCTGCAAGAGCCAGTATATGGCTGGCCCGTGAACGTACTTTTGCGCATCTCTGAACTCGTCCTTCAGTCCCATGAGAAACAGAGTGTCCAGTGAGTCCACGATCGTCGCCCCCATGCCTCCGAAGTTATTGGACGGGGTCTTACTGCGAGGCTGGCAGGAAAAACGGGGAGGATGAGAGCATGGTGGGGTTTTGGAAACAAGTCGGTGGGAAACGAGTCAATGATCGTTGCTCCCATGCCTCCAAAGTTGTTGGACGGGGTCTTACTGCGAGGCAGGTGGGTGGGGGAAGGACGGGTGGAGCGTGGAGGGGAGATGGGAGCAAGACGAGTGGAATACGAGCAAATATTTCAGTCTCATGAGGAAGAGCGTGTCCAGCGAGTCAACAATCGTTGCTCCCATGCCTCCAAAGTTGTTCGACGGGGTCTTACTGCGCGGCTGGCAGGTGTGAAGGGTGGGTGGAGAGTGGATGGAGGGTGGGGAGCAAGACGAACGGCGTGAGGAGAGGGAATGAGCAGGTGGAAAACGAATCAACCCCATGCCTCCAAAGTTGTTGGGCGGGGCCTTACTGTGTGGCTGGTGGAAAATGGGGGGAGGATGAGAGGGTGGTGTGGTGGGGTGCAATTTTGTACCTCTCTCTCCATGCATGCAACAACTTTTGAGGCACATCAAAATGCGTACTTTTTGTACCTCACTCTCCATGCATGCAACATCCCCTGTTTGATCAGCTTTTAAGGCGACACGTGTTGAGCCCACCCGAAATTACCCACAGGCACCTCGCCTTCATACCTGGAATCCCCTTCTCACCTGGAGTTTCCTTCTCAAGCAGCGTTCCTACTCACCTGGAACTCATCAGACCCCCACGCGTACTTCTTGTACCCCCTCCACGCATGCAGCATCCCCTGCTTGATCGCCTCTCAAGGTGGCTTTTCGGTCGAACCAAACCACACCCTGCAAGCACTTCGCCTCCCCAGCTGTAATCCCCTTCTCACCTGGAGCTCATCAGACCCCCACGCGTACTTCTTGTACCCTCTCCACGCATGCAGCATCCCCTGCTTGATCGACTCTCTCCTCCTCTCCGTCTCATCCTGCCCTCTCAACAACACCCCCTGCCCCTGCCTCTGCCCCTGCCCCTGTCCCTGCGTCTGTTTCTCTGCCGCTCGTTGCTCAGCCACCGATACCTCCTTCCTCTGCTCACTCTGCAACTGCTCTCCCCCTGCTTCCGTCACCCCGCCTGCTCTCACTCCTCCTCCCCCCCCTCCGTTTTTGCCACCCCCCGCTACAGCCACATCATCCTCTAAATCCGCATCCTCAAGCGGGTCTGTATCAGCTGCCTTCCCCTCGTTACTGTCACCTTCCCCGCCTCCCAGCCCATCGTCGTCCAGCTTCCCCAGTCTCTGCAGCTCTGACAGCGCCTTCTGTTCCACATCCGCGCTATGAGCATCCCCAGTAACAGGATCCCTTATAATAGCATCCCCAGTATACGCTTGCCCAGCCTGCTCGCCTCCTCTCAGCATCCCCCCTGTAGCACCCGCCTGAACGATCTTTTCTAGAGGAAGGAGCTTTCTCGCTTGCACTTTGCTAGTCGCACGTGCTGCATTTACACTTATCCCACCTCCGCCACCGCCGCCACCACCCCCTCCCCCTCCTACACCGAGAATAAGAGGGTTTTTCTTAACAGACGCGGCTTTGCCTCCTGCCTGGGCGTCAGAAACGCTGCCGGTCAAGCGAGCCTTCTCCAGCTGGGATGGGAGCAAGAGCAAGGGAGGGCACACGCCAGAAACAGCAGGAGGAGACAGGACACGTAGGGAAAGCCAGGAGGCTATGATTTATAAGCCTTTGCTTCCTGCCTGGGCAGCGCATAAGAAACGCTGCCAGTCAGGCGAGCCTGCTGCAGCTGAGATGGGACCAAGAGCAAGGGAGGGCACACGCCAGAAACAGCAGGAGGAGACAAACGCTGGGCTGCGCATAAAAAACGCTGCCAGTCAGGCGAGCCTGCTGCAGCTGAGATCGGATCAGGTCATGTGAACAGGAAACGGCATTGAGAAAGTGCGGTTCACAGCAACGTAACAGCGGCGGAACAGAACACAGAGGATAACACTTCATACCTCAACAACCAGGTGACTCTTCTCGACTTCGAGACTATCCAGCTGCGTCGCGAGTTCCTGCAGAAGACACGGAGCAAAACGAGAGGGCAGTTAATGCTACTGACTGCGGGACCACGAAAGAAGTAAGCTGCCGTGTGAGGATTGAGCTTCGTTTTGACCACATGAGGTTTGGACTCGTCGATTAGTTAGCATGAAGGCATAGAGCGGTAAGACTGGTTTGGTTGGTCGGAACCACAAATCGTGGATCCCCGTCGAATAACATTAGCGCGTGCGAGTTTTGAATCACGGATAAGCCAAAATCAGGAAGTAGCCTGAACTTTGACTGGGCAAACGAAGGTTTACAGTGAAACCGCTTGATCTCCGAAGCTTAAATTTGAATTTCTCAAGTTGAGTCTGTCCATCAAGGGTGGCATGAGCTTGATACTTTCGCATTTTGAGATTACGAAAGAGCATGATTCCGATGTCACGGAAAATCGTCAGACATCATAAAACTCGCAGGAAAAAAGGCAGCCAACCTCAATCCCCTTCGCAACACCCAAGCGACGGCCAGCTTACCTCAATTCCCTTCGCAACTCGCAAGAAACGGCCATCTTGCTTCAATTCCTTTCGCAACTCGCAGGAAACGGCCAGCTTACCTCAATTCCCTTCGCTTACCTCGAGTTCTTTCGCCTGTCGTTGGCGATCCATGACGACAAAGACGATCCCGACGACGAGCAGAGTGAGCAGCCCTAGTCGCCGGGGTCGCCGGATGTAGTACGACGGTCGCAGATACTTGAACCTGCTGGACGACGAACTTGACGAGGGTCTGCGACCCATCGTGCGATATTACGGTAATTCGTCAACAGACGCTCCTTGATCTCAGAAATTCGGGGACTGAGCGGTTCGTGACGCGGAGAATGTCAATGGACGGTGCAGATCAGCGGCGATCCGCGAACTTGTTCCTACTTTGAGCACCCTACTAGCTGAAGGGACCTCGCAGCTTCGGCGGACGTAATACACGAACATCCAGACTCGGTCGCCGGGGGACAGAGGTGGCTCAGTCCAATGACAGGTGGTATCAGTCGAACGACAGAGGTACTGAACGCTCGAGGTGTTCAGGAAATTAAGGAGCAACACTCTCCCCGTTGACGAGGAGAGTCACGAGGAAACGCAGCGGAGCGAGTCGAGGAGGTGCCTGGTAACTGATAGAGTTCACTGACATACCCCAGTTCTCCAAGAGCAGAACTGGCCGAGGTTCACATCTCACTTGCAGAAACACTGATGAGATCTGTGTTTTGGTCAGGCTTTGGTGTTGAGGAAATCGAGGATGCGGTTGGGTGGTCGGTTCGTTTGTCCCGCCCTCGAGAATGCCGGAACGGGCAGAAGCACTTGGTTGCCTCACAAGCATTATGTACCGTGCAGCACCGGAATTCGCTGCTTCTGGCAAGGGATGAAACCAGAGCTTGATCGTAAAAAATGTTGTGGATTTGCCCTATGAAAGTTTTCCTTTTGCTTGTACCTACCCGCACCAGCAAGAAGCTTTCTGGTTACCAAGTTTTGGCGGGATTGTCAGACCAGAGTGATTCTTGCCTTGCGAAGAGGTTTGGCGCGAAAACATATCAACTCGTCAGGCAGACAGGGGCACCCACAGCCATAGCAGTGTGGTGGGAGATAGATGTGCCCTTGGCTGAAACAAGACAGCTGGCGAATCGCAGAGTTCCCGGTTACCAGCGAAGCAATTGGTGACGAAAAAACAAATCATCGTGAATTCCAATCTTAATTGTTTTTGGCTGGTCTACTTCAGCTGCTGTTGCTTTCCCGCACATAACATCCATGGCGACCCACTCATGATTCTGCGATGCTGAAGAGGAGCACATTCTCGGCGTTGGAATAATGTTTCTGCGAGTCTGCTGACGACGGCGAATTAGGACATGTTCGCGACCTCCAATCAATTTTAGGAGTCGAAACCCCTCCTACGGATCCTGCATTTACAAGGCACATTACTATTGACCAGTTCCAAACGTTTCGTACTTTCGCTGGATCCAATAGTTTTCAGTCACCCATTATCATTCCGTCAAATCGTCATTATCGCTGATCTCTCGTCATGGACTCCTCCGGGAATCTCCGTCAACGAAGGAGATCCGAAGCCCAAGGAACCTCGTCAGGCACCCAGCCTGTACCCTCCTCCTCAGAATCCTTGCAGCAACCAGTGAAGAAGCAGCAGAAGAGCCTACTTATTTCCTGGCGAGCCGCATTCTTTTTCCTCCTGATCTCACGGTCAGTAATCGTATTTCAGAATCTAGCATTTCTCGGTTGCTTGGTTACATGTGTACATTTCCCTGAATCCGCATTTCGTCACGCTTTGCTGTTTTAACAGCAGGTCAATAGCGGAGCTTTCAACACCATCCACGACTGCGACGAGGCGTTCAAGTACTGGGAGCCTTTTGTTGCCCCCCCCCCCCTTGTTTTTCTCTCACAAATTGCCAATGTGCAGGTCAATAAGCGCAGCGGTGAACATCATCCACGACTGCGACGAGACTTTCAACTACTGGGAGCCTCTGCACTACCTCCTGCACGAATCCGGGTTCCAGACATGGGAATACAGGTGGGTGCTCCTTTCTTGCTGCTCCCATGTCTTCACAATCTAGGGATTCTCTAGGAATTCTCTTGAGAGACGTTCAACTACTGGGAGCCTCTGCACTACCTCCTGCACGAATTCGGGTTCCAGACATGGGAATACAGGTGGGCGCTCCTTCCTTGCTGCTCCCATGTCTTCACAATCTAGGGATTCTCTAGGAATTCTCTTGAGAGACGTTCAGCTACTGGGAGCCTCTGCACTACCTCCTGCACGAGTCCGGGTTCCAGACATGGGAATACAGGTGCAGTACTCTTTCACGCTCTTTGCCCTTGTTGCAACATACACCCTCAAAAACCACATGCTTTCTGACCTCTGCTCCATTGTCTTTCCCCTTCTCCTTATTATCCTATCCCAACAGTTCTGCGTTCACCCTTCGATCCTACCTTTACCTCTTTCACCACGCCCTTGCTGCCGTGTCAGTCACACTACACCTCAGCAGTCACTGCAGGCGCCTTTGAAACCTTTCCATTTCTGTCTCTCTTTTCCCTCTCTCTCTCCTCGCTATCCTATTGACCCAACAGCTCTGCATTCGCCCTTCGCTCCTACCTCTACCTCTTCTTTCACGCCCTCATCGCCCTGCCAGTCACTCTCTTTTTTGGCAACGGTACGGGTAAGGTGAGCAAAGAACCCTGATAGCTGTTGTTAGGGTGAGGGAGGTAAGGGACCAGATGGGTGTAAGCTGAGCTAAGAGCGCTGATAAGTGGCAACTTATGCCCTACATCAAGCAATGTGATGCCTGATTTATAATTTCTTGTGCTTGGGTTCGCTTTTGAACACCTGTATAAGCCGTTGCCTTTCATTTGCTTCGTTTCTGATGGCAGGTTGCCCCCCTCATCCACGTTCTCACCTCCCCGTCATCCTTCTCTTCTCAATCCCTACCCTCATCCCTGTTCCTACCATCCCCACCTCAGTTAACGCCTTCTACACTGTCCGCCTGGCCCTGGCTGTTCCCTCTGCTGCATCAGAGGCATCTCTGCTCGTGGCTGTGGCTGCTGCCCTTCACAAGGCCACTCAGGCCCCCTCCCTACCCTCCTTCCTCCCCATAACCTCCCTTCCTACCTTCCCCACCTCAGTTAACGCCTTCTATGCTGTTCGCCTGGCCCTGGCTGTTCTCTCTGCCGCTTCAGAGGCATCTCTGCCCGTGGCTGTTACTGCTGCCCTTCACAAGCCCACTCAGGCTTCTGTTCTCTCCTCCTGCCCCCTTCCCGTCACTCCTTTGTACTCTTCCCCATCGCAGGCTAACGCCTTCTACACTGTCCGCCTGGCCCTGGCTGTTCTCTCTGCTGCCTCAGAGGCATCTCTACTCGTAGCCGTTGCAACAGCCCTTCACAAGGCCACCAGTGCTGGCAGTGCCAGTAGCAGCAGCAGTGGAACGAGGGAAGATAAGGAGAAAGGGAAGGAGGAGGAGAAGGAGAAGGCGAAGCGAGAGAGGGCGGTCCCAGCAGGGATTGGGGAGCGAGTGGGTGTGTGCGGGTTGCTGCTCCTCTGCTTCTGCTCTGGCAACTTTCTCGCCTCCACAAGTGAGTGATGCTTCTTCCTCAGCACTCACGTGTGGAGTGCTGAGGGTGTTCACCTCTCAACTCCTGCTGCTCCTCTGCTTCTGCTCTGGCAACTTTCTCGCATCCACAAGTGATTGTGGTTATGACTTATATTCGCTCGCTCCCTCCTGTCACACTCACCCCTTGACTCCTGCTGCTCCTCTGCTTCTGCTTTGGAAACTTTCTCGTGTCCACAAGTGAGTGGTGGTTACAACCTTTACTCGCTAGCTCCCCCCTATCAAGCACTTTCCCCCTCCCCCTCCATTAATCCATGTTCTTCTGCAGCACCTTCAGCGTGTACACAATTGCCTGAGCCAGGTTTAGTAATTCTATACAGAGTCTCTTCCCGTACGTGCCTGCCCTGCCCTGCCTGCCCTCACTCACTCCCCTCGCCTTTATGCAGCCATCCTCCCCGGCACTTTCAGCATGCATGCAATCACCTCGGCCACGTCCCTTGATATGACACACATAGCCTGTCTCCCCTTCTCCTATTCCGTCCTCCTCCTTCCCCAGCCTTCCTCCCCAGCACTTTCAGCATGTATGCAATCACGTGGGCCACGTCTCTGACCATCCAACGCAGACCCGCAGCAGCAACAGCGGCAGCAGCAGCAGCAGCGCGTTCAACGCACATGTATCCCCTCATTTTGTGCAACACTTTTTCCCTTCCCCAGCCTTCCTCCCCAGCACTTTCAGCATGTATGCAATCACGTGGGCCACGTCTCTGACCATCCAAGGCCGCCCCGCAGCAGCAACAGCGGCAGCAGCAGCAGGCGTGCTGCTGGGGTGGCCCTTTGCAGGCCTGGCAGCCCTGCCGCTGGTGCTGCACGGGATGATCACTGGTGGTTTTGTGAAGGTCGTTGCATCCGGTGCAATCACCACTGTACTCGTCTCAGTAAGTGGGTTCGAGATCATTGCTTCTGGTGCTGCTGGGGTGGCCCTTTGCGGGCCTGGCAGCCCTGCCGCTGGTGCTGCACGGGATGATCACTGGAGCCTTTGTGAAGGTGGTCGTGTCTGGTGCTCTCACCACTCTTCTCGTCTTAGTAAGTGGGTACCGGCTGATCGAGTGAGTGACAAAACAGGCACCCACACAGCAGCAGCAGTGGCGGCAGCAGCAGCAGGCGTGCTGCTTGGGTGGCAGCCTTGCCTCTGGTGCTGCACCGAATGATTTGTGGTGGATTTGTGATGGTCGTTGTCTCTGGTGCTCTCACCACTCTCCTCGTCTCAGTCAGTGGGTACCGGCTGATTGAGTGAGCCATTGGCCAGTACTGTACTCCTATCAGAGTAGCAGCTTTTGAGATAATAATAAGAATAATAATAATAATAATAATAATAATAATAATAAAAACGACTCAGATATGGCCAGTGCTGTACTCCTACAAGAGCAGCAGCAGGCGCGGAGGGGCCACTCTTCTTGAGAATTCTCAAAAAACACGGAGGGGCCACTCTTCTACCTCCACAGTGGCCTCAACACTCGCCCTCCCCCTCGCACTCATTGTCCCTCCCTCTCCCCTTCACTCCCTCCCTCCCTCCCTCCCGCCCTCCCTCCCGCCCTCCCTCCCTCCCTCCCTCCCTCCCTCTCTCCCTCACTCTCTCCCTCCCTGCCCCCCTCCCCCTGCTCCTGTCCAGGCCCTCTCCCTGTGTTTCGATCGCCTGTACTACGGCCCGTGGACCTCCTCTGTGTTCAACCTAATCCGCTATAACGTGTTTGGAGGGGGGGACGGTGTGGACTCGGCGGCACTCTACCTCCGCAACGGCCTCAACAACTTCTCCCTCGCCCTCCCCCTTGCGCTCATCCTCCCTCTGCTGCTGCCTCCCTCCCTCCCCTCCCCCGACTCACTCCCCCCCTCCCTCCCTCCACTCTCTCCTCTTGTACCCATCCAGGCCCTCTCTCTGTGTTTCGATCGCCTGTACTACGGCCAGTGGACCTCCTCTGTGTTCAACCTAATCCGCTACAACGTGTTTGGAGGGGGGGACGGTGCGGGCAGCACGCTGTACGGAGTGGAGGAGCCACTCTTCTACCTCCGCAACGGCCTCAACAACTTCACCCTCGCCCTCCCCCTCGTGCTGCTCCCTCCCTCCCTCCCTCCACTCCCTCCCCCTGTCCTCCAGGCCCTCTCTCTGTGATTTGACTGCCTGTACTACGGTCAATGGACCTTCTCCATTCTCAACCTAGTGCATTACAACGTGCTGGGAGGGGGGGACGGAGCCGGCAGCAGGAGCAGCAGCACGCTGTACGGAGTGGAGGGGCGGCTCTTCTACCTCGGCAACGGCCTCAACAACTTCACCCTCGCCCTCCCCCTCGCCCTCCCCCTTTGTGCTGCCCGCTCCCTCTCTCTCTCCCTCCTCTCTCCCTCTTTGTCCCCATGCAGGCACTCTCTCTGTGTTTCGATCGCCAGTGGACCTCCTCAGAGAGAGAGAGCACAGAGGAGGTCCACTCTCTCTGTATTATGGCCAGTGGACCTCCTCTGTGCTCAACCTCGTGCGGTACAATGTGTTTGGAGGAGGAGACGGTGCGGTGCGGGGAGCACGCTGTATGGAGCGGAAAGCCCCCTCTTCTATTTTTGAGGCGCCTCAAAAATAGAAGACGGTGCGGGGAGCACGCTGTATGGAGCGGAAAGTCCCCTCTTCTACTTTTGAGGCGCCTCAAAAATAGAAGACGGTGCGGGGAGCACGCTG